GCAGGAAGCAGTCAGTCAGTCTGAAGCCTCCACTTCAAGAGTGGAAGCTCTTGAATACTCTGCAAGGGCGTTGGCTGCTCTGGCAGACACACTAATTATTCAGACTGGATCAGAACTTACAATGGAGGAGCTGGAGATTCCCAGGGGAGTCAGGGAGGATTAGAACACAGCAACCATAACCACCACCTTTGTGTACTTTTAATTAAAACCAGACATAAGATGAATTCATAAAGAGAAAAATTTTATGGAAAAATAAAACCAAACTATTCTGACCAATTGCTGGCAAGAGCTCAGTTCTTCCAGGGTCATGGAGAGGGTGTTTGGACCCCTGGCCGGTAATTACAGCTGTTACTCACTCCAGATCTACAGAACCTAAATGAGTGCCGAAAAAATAAAGGTAGCTATTCTCTAACTAGCAGCAATTACAATATATATCATTGCATTTCTAAAGTTTAAGCAGCATGTCTTTGAGCCATCTGTTTACTTGCAAATTGTATACATCAATACAAAGCTAAAGAAGGCAGAACCAAATAACTATATACTCAAGTGTAATGAAACAGGCATAAGGCACTTATTCAGATATTGAACAGCTCATAAGAATATATTTTATTCAACTGTGAACCCTTTAACAACTTTTTAAAAAATGAAAATGGCTGCTCAATTGAGAGATTTATAGCTGTCACTGGAACATACTGGGCAGAGGCATTTGAGCACGTGTCTCAAATGAATGGACATGGGTTTATCAGAATGCCTAGTAAGCTTATTTCAATGCACAGTTCAGCACTGCAAAACATTTAGAGCTATGCAGTTCATCCCAGCAAATGCTAACAGAGCTCCATACATCACAGGTTGGAGAAAATACATAGGAAACTGTCATTAACACATATCCTATAAGCATTCAGCTGCACTGAACTTTTCAATCTTTTGGATTTAAAAATCATTGTGGCAGAGGAGCAAAGACCACCAAGCTTGTTTCTCAGTCTAAAATGGTGTTGAGAAACTGAGGAAACATTCTGGCAGGTTGTGTTTTATTCTTTTTAAAAGCAGAAGTATGAAGTTAATAATTTTCAGTATTCAAAATAACACAGTTGGGCATGGTTTAGAACAAAATTAAAATACATGACAAAACCCACATGATAAAAATGCAAACCACTACACAGTTCTGCAGTTTATCACATGGTTATTATGGCACCACATAGAAATTGTATATCTCAGTTAACCAGACACCGTAAATGGCATCTACAATATCCTAGCACAGAGCACTTAATATGATTAAAAGCAGTTACATACTTTAATATCATCCTCTATAGGATCAAGTATCTACAAGCTTACAAAAAAAACGAAAAGAAAAAAACCCAACAAACCAAACCCCAAACCACAGGCTTATTTTATCCTTTAATAATCCTTTGGCTGGATTATTAAAGTTTAAGTTTGCAATCAGTTACTTCAGCTGCTTCTTCACACTTAAAATATCAACTAGTAGCATACTTATGGAAGCAGAAACAAACTTGGTCTTAGCCTTATCCAGTTCAACTATCTTCGCATGTGTGAGTCAGACTAGAAAATAAACAACTAATAGGAAAAGCACTGGCTGGGCAGAGCAGATAGAGCAGGGAGCTGGGCACCCAGGCAAAGAGTTGTGATCTTATATTATGCCCAAACTAAGAAGCCTTCCCAGACTGTATTGGCACTGCAGAAGCCACCCAAATCCAGCAGTTCTTTAGAGCCACCTGAGAAGTGACCTGTGCTGTGCACACTCCTGCAGAACAACTGCTGGCTGTTCTCTCCTCAGCACCTGCATTATCCTCCCCCTTCAGCATTCTGGGGAACAGAATCCTCCTATTGGCACAAGTGAGGCCTAAGGCTTCACAAACAGATATGAAGTGAGCAATCTGGCAGTGAAGATTGAAGCGAGCAGTCTGCGTTTTCTGGCTAGCCATAATAAAAAAAATAATTACTCTTCAATGACATCTTACAGAATACTTCCCTTCTTTTACTTAAGAAGAAGGTAGGTATCAGGTTATGATATACAAACAAATTATTGCACATCAGCTGCTCAATTATAACTCTTCATTTGAGGATTCTTCCCTATTAACCCTGGGCCTGTTTACTCCTGTCACCGTCACTTCACAAGGTGCACTGTGGTATCCCCAGGGTAACAGAGCGGTCACATGAAGAGTTACCATGGAGAAACTGATGTCTGCCCAGCAATATTTACTACTTTCTATTTTTTTAAATGCTGGAGTCTAAGGGCTCCAACTTAAAATCACAACAAATAAGATTTCTCACAGCAGTTACCAGGTTAGTAAATCTTCAATGCCCAAAGCGTTTAGTGTTGTTTATGCGCTAAGCCAGGAAAACCATCATGCATCTGTACTTAAGGTCCAGTCTAAATAACTGTCCTCCCACAAGGGCATTTCTATGCAAAAGTAATTTCATCTTAACACAGAGTATCTTCCTTCTTACAAAGCACTCGGCCAACTGCTTTCCTGCTTAGGTCCAATAAAATTACGGGGTCAGTAATAGCAGAGGTTAAAACCTCTGATGGTTTTAGTACAGTTTGTCTCTCAACGCTGTTTTCTTTGTGAAGAGTCCTATAACAATATAAGTTTCTTTAGCATGCCAAAATTACATGCTAAGGAGAATTCAATACTTATCTAAGGAAACAAGAATTAGCTGAGTCGGGCATATAAAATTGAATAAACTGCCTCCAAAAGCTGAAGAAACATGACAGGGAGATCTTTGTGGCATTGTGGATAGGTCCCAAGTGTACCCACAACACTACTAAAAAGAAATTCCTGAAATTCACTGAAAGCAAAACCCATTCTGCAGCGTTTGAATACAGTCATGTGTTCACATATGGCACGATATAAACAGGCAAAAAATAACCACAGTATATTGCTACACAGCATATTCACTTTTTCAGTCTTAACTGGAAAACTATTTTAATAGTTATTAAACAGAAGACATCATTTACAATATTACAAATAATGTCATATCCTTTGGGCTGAATAACCAAAAGAAAGAGCTGGTGCAGCAATATATTCACTAAAAGTAATTAAATGCCAAAGTCCAGTCTTTCTACAAGCTTTCACCACAGAAATTAACATGAGGAAAATAACGTTTGCTAATGCACCTTAATCTGCTCTCCTGCAAAAATACTCAGAGCTGCAAATTCCAGGACTCTGTAGGAAAACACTTGCCTCTATAAGAGAAACCTCTGAGCTGACAACAAGAATTATTTAAAATGGGATAAATAAAATGAAGACAAATTATTTACTATTTCCATTTCAGTGATGAATAGTGGAAAAACAAAGAGGTTAATATGGGTACACAAAGCAAAAAACTCCAGAGATCTCTCCAGCAGATAGGATTCATTCCTTCAAGACAAGGAGAAAAATTAACATGCCCTGAATAACAACAGTTCTCTCTTCTAACAGATTTTACAGAAGTTACATAAATGATCCAAACAGTTTTAAAACTGATTTTAAGGTTACATATTTCCAGAAGAATTACTTCAATTCTGTGCCTGAAGTATAGCCTTGAATGTTAACACAGTATTCCATTTAAAAACAGATCCTTAGTTCCTGTGGCTGCAAAGAAAATGCAACACAACTGGCATCATGATCTTTATGTATTTAATATTCCTTTCAGCAGTCTGCCAATCCAGAATCAAGTATGGTCTACTGCTTTTCCTCGCCACCTACTACAGAGTAAGGTGGCAGGGCAGGGAGACTATTCCCAAGGAAATGGTGACTTTTGTTTTCCTGACCAGCACAATTCCCTACAACATTTCCTCCTCAAAATGGATGTTGCTGAAACTATTAGCATAGATCACAATGCTGTTTCAATATGCAGGTATCATAGCTATTAAGCCTTAACTACTATGATACTCAATTCTTAATTCTTATTGCATCTTGAAAACTTAAAGAGGGCATGTGGACAGGAATTACATTACACTAGGGCATTTTAGGTAGGTGAACATGCATTTATTCTCATAAATTATGCTTACTAGATTATATCCGCAGTATAATGTGCGCAGTCAGTAAAATGGAGGATACTAGCTCAAAACAACAGCTAAGTCCTTATTGTGGCAAACAAAGGAAAAGTATACATTCAATAAAATAGCTAATCTATAATATTTTGTTAGAGAAATTTCTAAAGTGTTCAAAGAAATGTAATGTACAGGAGAAATTTGTTAGTTAGTTCCACCAAATCTGAAAACTTACCATTTTATCTAGGTGCTCAATGGATCTATAAATTTCTCCTTGGGATTCATCATAGTAACTGTAACGGAACCTCTGACCTTGAAACAAAAATCATGTATAAAATAAAAAAGGGAAAAATTGTAGCTAAAACACTCCCTAGTACTTACTAAATAATTGAGATTATAATATTTGTAAAGTAGTAATCTCCATTAATTTTTACACTTTTTAGCTCTACTGAGGAAATCCTAGGGCAATCATCAAAGTAGCAGCCCAGAAGCGAAGTATAAAAATACATGATGGGCAACTATATTCCTAAAGAAAAACCTACTATGTAGAACTGACACTGCAGTATCACTTATTAATTGCCTGTTATTGCCTTGGAAACCAATTCTATAAATTAAAAAGTAAAGCAACATTTCATTTCGCTATCCCTCTTGAGAAAGTCAACCCTCGAGTTGGGCTACTTCTGCTTGCACAACAATATCCACAGTAAATGAAGGTTAAAATAAAAAGTTCATGATAATTCAATGAACAGTTCTAGATGGTTCATTAGCCACAACAGAACCCAGGTCATTCTTATATACCTCCACCTATTCCACAACTCAAAGACAAGTAAAATATGCACTTAATTATGTAAGTTGACCAAAGATGACAATGTAAAACGGGAAGAAGGTCTGTTGTGTAATATAAAACATATATTTCTGAAGCAGTCCCTTTTCCAGCTATTATCACACTTAAAAGAAAAATGAAGTGTTAAAGCAGGACAGAAGTCAAGGCTTCTGGAGTCTTTATAGCTCTGGTGAATTGGCATAAATACTCCATCGGCTATCCTACCCAGCAGTAAAACATACAAAACTTATTTCCATCAGAGGGATGTTGCCATGTCCAGTGAATTTTTAGCTAATTAGTTTTGCAAGTTGCTTTAAGGTGCTTAAAAGAAGAGTAAAAAGAGCAAGAAACTTCAGACACTTATTTCATTGCAATAGTAGAGAGATGCATATAAACCCATACACCTTCACCATTTTTCTCCACTACACTGAAAACACATTACCACATTATTTTTCATCTATTGTTCCAGATTAAAAAATGAAAAAAGCTCTTTCAGCTTTACAAAGCCATTTCAGTTTCAAAGATACATTTACCAAAAGTTAATATGTTCAATGTTTAATAAAATACACTATTTGAAAATCACTACAAAATGTTAATCATACTGTTGTAATGAAGAGATGTGAAACTTACCCCAATGGCAAAAGTCAGAAGAAACCACAAAGAGGTTACTAGGATCAGCTAGGTATTTACTGAAGAGTTTTCCAAATTCCTGCTCTTTTGACTCACTCAGTGCTCCGACCAACACAGGAATAATAGTAAACTCATCCTTATGGCTTATAAGCAAAAGAAAAGAGGTTGTAATTCAAGTAACATCTGAAGTTTTTTCAGGGCTTGCTAACTGAAATTGCAGAATGTTTTAAAAGGGCATTATTGAATTGAAGATACAGTTAATTTGCTAAAGTCAAACTAGGAAGTTGTTTTACAACCTGAAACAGCTTCCATTTCAGAAAACAAATCCCCTTCCAAAACAGTATTTATCTTTGCTGCAAAGTGAAAACATCAGGCAAACAAAAAGGAAAGACACAATGAAACCAGCAATAAAGTAAAATTTAAATTCTCCCTGTAGAGATGCTGCACAGATGTTGGGTCATTTTTCAATGTATATGAAAATGCACAAGATAGCATCTAGATGTATACTGACGCTCCAGGGAAAATGACAAATACTATGGAAGAAAAGTTTTTAAAAAAAGAAGAAAAAGAAAAAGAAAAAAACCCAAATACCACACCACAAAATGCAAAAATTAAAAAGAAAAAAAATCCACTGTTGAGAAAGATTCATGAAAGCACATCTGATATTAACTCTATTAAGTCAATATAAACATATAAATTTGTTTGTAAGTGATGTTCCAATTTCATCATTCAGGTGTTTGCTCCACTCACAGTTTCTATTATAGCAACTAATCCTAGTCTCTGATCCCCTCCTCCCCAAAATTTTTACTGGGGAGTTGGGGCAGTGTAAGTATTATACATCATATAGGGTATTATATACCATAAAGTGTATTATTACTTCCTACTGCACTTCATATGTAGTTCAAACATTTAATGCACATAAGGCTCATTCTTGTAGAAGTAGTAATTAGCCCTAGTACCTTTCCATGGCTTTAGCAGTATAAGGCAAATGCATTTCAATACTGTGTTCATCTTCATCTGTCTGTAGGGACATACGCTCAAACATTCCAGTCTTCCACAATTCTCCATAAACTGAAATGAATTAAAAATTACCTTTTACTACTTTAAAAAAACAAACAAACAAACAAAAAAAAACAACCCACACTGTAAAGCAAACTATAGTGCATCTTTATCAGAACAAGCCCACTATAGCAAATTACTTGCCTCAACGGGCTGTCATCATAAACCACTTGTTTTTTAAATAAATTCAGGATTAAAATTATGTTCAAGTTATTAAGATACAAAAATAACTGATTCAGTTTACAAAATAAGTGTGTTAAATCAGTGACTTTGTTAGCATATTGAGAAAGATTTTCAGTTATGATACAAAATTTAAGTAACACAAATAAAACACATTTGAAAACATGCGTGCATTTGCCCAGTCACTGAATTCTTATTTGCACATACTACACCATCATATGTTTTGGTTTGTTGTTTTTTTTTTAAAAAAAAGCTGATCAGCTGAATTGCTGGATATGCTGTTATATTAATACAATTTATTATTAATTGATTAATGAAATCTAGAGACAGAGAAAACTAATTAAGTAATCCACATTTATAAGTTTCCTTTTGTACTCTCAAGTGCACTTCGTGGTATGCAGAGTCATCTCTGCATTTTGAAAACTCTCCGCTGGATGAAGAATTCAATGTAGGGCTGTGCCTCCTTCTCCACTCTACAAAGGAGTTCTACAAAAACTGAAACATGGGTTATTTAAGGAAATGTCTGCAGGCACTACGTAGAATCATATGTTTTGGTTTGTTGTTTTTTTTAAAAAAAAAGCTGATCAGTTGAATTGCTGGATATGCTGTTATATTAATACACTGATCAGCTGAATTGCTGGATATGCTGTTATATTAATACAATTTATTATTAATTGATTAATGAAATCTAGAGACAGAGAAAACTAATTAAGTAATCCACATTTATAAGTTTCCTTTTGTACTCTCAAGTGCACTTCGTGGTATGCAGAGTCATCTCTGCATTTTGAAAACTCTCCGCTGGATGAAGAATTCAATGTAGGGCTGTGCCTCCTTCTCCACTCTACAAAGGAGTTCTACAAAAACTGAAACATGGGTTATTTAAGGAAATGTCTGCAGGCACTACGTAGAAAGTAGAAAGACTGGTATTTCACAGACTAACAGTTTTTAATTTCTGTAGGTACTCTTCAAGTTAAAAAAAAAAAAGTCACATGCAGTAATGCAACCGAATAAAAGCAGCTTTTTATTCCTCTACTGTTAACAAACTCAAACCAACTAAAGCACCATCTTTTTTTCCCCAGACAGAATACTTCATAAAATAATGGAACATGTGTGTAGTGGGCTATTATCCAAATAGTGGCACTTTTTAATGTTGAGATCCCTTTTAAAGATCACTTGTCAAGAGGTATACACTCATAATGGAAAAAATAATTAAAGATTGAGAATTCTTTACTTGCAGAAATAAGAGAGAATTTAAGGTCATAATACAGCAATGCCTGCAACCACCAGTATCTTTCAGAAGTTAGCTTTCATTGCAGTAAAAACAGATTTATACTTGTATGTCACTTAAAAGCAATAAAAAGTGCCCAACAAGAAAGCCCTCAGCACTGCAGTACCACAGTTAATACTCAAGCCTCAGCAATCTTCAAGACATAAGCTTTATCATGCACTTACTCTTTTGGTCAATTCGGAGATCATACAGAGGTGTTCTATAAATGTCCACACTGGAAAGTGCACATCGGGAAAGGGGCACGTGATGGGAAGGCCCAAGAATGAAAATTTTTCGGCTACAACAATTAACACAAAAGCCCACAATTTAGACAACTGCAATGGTACAGAGACTTGGTTTAGAGTAACAAGTTTAATAAAAATGTACAAAGTGATACTTTCTGGTGGTTCCCAATAGAGTTTTACTCTGCTGTGTGTAAGACCACAGATCAAATCCATAGCCTAGACCTGCTCAGGATCTCAGAAACGATTGTGAGATCAGTTCAACAAAGCTTCCTGTAGCCTTAAGCCTTTTAAGCAGGTTATATATCAGAGGGCAACTCAACAGCTAGAAATGTATCCAACTGGACTCATTTGGAGGCTGAATGATGTGTTATAGCCCCTTAGAACAGATTTTTGGATTCTCTCCTTGGAGAGAACCTTCACACAACCTTCAGTTACACACCACCTTCAACAACTACAAATATGCACCCTCAAATGAAGACTATGGATTTAGCATCTATTCAGAGCTTTTCACTTATTCACTTGATTAGCCTTACTTCAGATTTCAGTGAATTCAGATTTAAGTCATTCGCAAATGCTGTTTTTAATCCAGCTGTTGGATCAACAACAAGGGCTTGGACCTGCACATTCTCAGCTTTAGCCGATACTGCAAGCTTTCACACGTTATCATGACGTTATTTCATCAAGTCCTCAGATCCTGGCCTTTGATTAGACATTAAGGGTCTCCTGCCACAGGACTTGAAGAAGAAAAAAAGCTAAAGGAAACACAGCTTTTCGGATTCAGGATTATATCATCTTGCTTCTGGCACTGAGCTAAAGAGGTGGGAGACATGTAAGGGGGGAAAAAAGAAAATAATCTTTACTTGCGGAATGTTATAGCAGACTACACTAAAATACTAAAACATTTTACAGAGCTCGTAAAAACAAAATATCCAAACGTGCAATACTTCAGCTGAAAGATTAATGACTGACTGATTTTAAACATCCCATATGGTACAATAGCAAATGATCCAGAAAGTTCAGTATACGCCATGTCACTGAACCTGGGGAATGCATCTTGTTCTAGAAATTTTAGAAAAACTGTCACACTAAGTTATCTTATTTTTTTTTCTTTTTTTACAATAGTTTAGAAAGAATCAAAATGATTGTCTTTGGAGAACATTACAACATGTTATCTCATAAGCAACTGACAGACATAGCCAGTTTTTATATCAACATTGCAAAATACATACTCTGAGTAAATACTGGAGATGTTTTAAATTTTTTTCATTTAAAAAAACATTGCAGTCATCAGAACACATAAGAATTGTATTCCTTTAACCTAGAATAACTGGATTCATATTTTCAGAGGCAGGCACAGACTACAGTAGCGTGTTGTTTTTTATTTTCCTTTTTTTAAACTGTTATGCTGTTAGAAAGACAAGTCCACTTAAAATTATTGCAACAAGTAACTTTCACTGACTTCAAATACTATACACACACACACTTGGTCACTTTCTCCACAGCAGAAGAGAATCCTGGTAGCATTCAGCCCATAATCCTGCACTGAAAAACCAATGCAGAATCATGATCAAATATTTTAACATACTTAAAAACCAAATATAACCTTCCAACAAAAACAAAACAAAAAAGAAACAAAGACATTCTGTGACCAGTAAAAAAAACCCCAGCTTAGGCTTTTATAAAAGCAGTGGAATAAAGCAAGCAATAAAGTAAATTAAATGCTATTACCTGCAAAAAAAACACCTTTAACTCCTCCCTTCTAAAAAGTTAGTTATCAATAATTCTCACTAATTTTTGAAAATAGTGCTTTACATTTTTAACAATATTACATTATTTTTTTCTTTTGTAACATCCAAACAATGTGAACATTAACGATGTTAAAGCAGAAGTGATGCATAAAAGACTAAATAGAGTACAAAATTAAAATTTTAGTACTTTGAGGTGGAAGAATGTAAAAAGAACATTCAGCTTCTCAGAAAACTGCAATGGCATTGCCTTACACTTTGCAAAGAAAGACTTTTATACTTACGTAATATTAGGATCCACTTGTTTGTAAGCATGGGCTGCACAAGATCCACAATAGGTATATCCTGCATGGCTGCAAATCAGGATGTACAAAATGTTAACATATTAAATAGCGTTTAACATCTTAAATATGTTGATATTGCTACTAAATGTTAATATCTTAAATATTATTTGTCCCCAATGAGCTAGACCTAGTAAGAGTGATCCCAAAATCAACTCCTGCAACAGCTGGAGAGCACCATTCCAGTACTGAATGTAAGAAGGACGCATTTGTTAAAAAACTATCAGTGACCATTTACTTGAAAGTTAGCAAGTAAACCTCCAGATCCCTTGTTACTTGTAAAAGATACTAGTAGGCAGAGTAATCACAGATTACAGAATCACAGTGGTTGGAAAAGACCTTTAAGGTCATCGAGTCCAACCATAAACCTAACACCACCAATTCCACCTCTAAACCATGTCCCTCAGCACCTTGTCTGACCGTCTGTTAAATCCCACCAGGGAAGGTGACTCCACCACCTCCCTGGGCAGCCCGTTCCAATGCTTGACTGCCCTTTTGGTGAAGTTTTTCCTCAGATCCAATCTAAACCTTCCCTGATACGCAACTGCGTATTATCAGAAGCTCCTGATAATGCTGAGTGCAGTCAGGGGACAAGGGAATAGCAAGCTGCTGGAGAAAGCTCTTCTAACCACACTCCAGTAAATGAATACTATGACAGCAGAGGGGTCTGGCAAAAAAAGACTACATGTTACAGCATTAATTATGCTCTGTCACTGAAGAAGAACACCTCAGCAACAGAATGAACAGGCACAAGGAACGGAGCAGAAGACAGCACGGTAGCTTTTACAGCAGAGAACACAACATGTGCTTTATCATTTCCTATCACACTGGCCTGGAGCCTTTCTCAACTCGTGTTCCTATGTGTGCTCCAAAAGCATTCATAATTAGTCTGATGACTATTGAAATCTTAAGACCCATTCCCTTCAAGACTGTTAAAAACAGGAGAAAAATCAGTTTAAAAGCATTAATTCCAGAAAACATTCATTCCCCAGCATCCCAGCCCAAGCGCTGGAGAACAGTTCACAGTCACTCAGCAGCATGTCCATAGCAGAAGGCCATGCCCACATTGCACAGTGCTTGGGACCCATCTCCTCTGGAGCTCATCTGGAGCACCTGTAACCCTAGGTCAACACTTACCATTTATTTTCAGTCAAGTATGTGCAACAACACAACTAAAGCTTTCCAGATGGTCTTTTTATACAATGACACTGAGAATGACACGTGCTCCAAGTCATGGGACATACAGGATATTTGAAGATACAAGCTCCTCATTGACAGCACTGGAGGATTTTACATTTATTTATATGTATCTATGCATACATGCATGTATATACATCCAAACAATGACACTTGATTCTGAAAATTACCATGAGGTTTTACTTCAGTGTCACTTACCTCACTCAGTCTGAAGAGCTCAGAAAGGTACTAACATACATGCTAAGGGGATCAACGGGAGAACGAAACTCAGTGAACCAGCAAGGTATGTTAAACAACAATGTCAACAGAGCCTTCTGAAAGGTTCCCTCTGCTACAGGTTTTTTCAGTCTTTCACAAAAATATTCTAAGCCATATCTCACTTTACAGGTGGGAAAACAAAGCCATAGTTAATGAAACAATTTGGTGAGACAACAGGAAGACCTCCAGCAGCTCTGGAAAAAGAATCCAGGTTACCAAATCCACAGCTGAAAGGCCTCTTTCCAGACATTCCCGTGAGAAGGACTAAGGTAGATTTGGGACAATTTATTCTGCACATTCTCAGTACTATTATGAAATACTTCAAACATTATGTCAATGCTATGTTAGCACAGTAAAAACATCATTTTACAGGTACTTTTTCTAGTGTTTCCTTCTGACTCACAATAAATTGGAATGACCAACCTACTTTTCTTATTATATGTCTCAAACATCTTCAGTAAATTGAATTCTACTTAAATAGCTTCAATGATCTCTATTTCTCCTGTGGACAAAAAAATCCCAAACATAACCAAACCAAAATAACAAAAGTAAACCATTTTGAATAGCTGAATAGTGTTTCATTACTTTTATCTTAAGCTTTGCTAAGTTTTGGGTTGGAGGCAATGTTGGTGTTTTGTTTATTTGGGGGGTATTAGTTTTTTTGTTCTTGTTTTTTTTTAAATACGTGTAGCTGTTTTGTACTAGAAATGTGCTGAAAGAGCTGTCATCTTTAGAATATCACTCCCCTAATACACGTCTTATCTGTCTTAGTGGATCACAAATTAATGCTATGTATTCAGTCCGTCAGCAAAAGGAAACAAATCATGTATCAAAATGTGCACAGATTTCTTCCATTTATGCCATAACCAAAACACTTGTTTAGAAACCACATTACATTCCTTTCAGCTAAAAATTAGCTTTCACCAGTTTTCAAAATCACTCAAAATAAAGAAGTAAGTATTATATATACTAAACACAGATTTCAAACTCACGGTGCAATAATGGCTCTAGCAGGTCTCTTTGTGGACTGTACTTGAGAAAGCCAGCCTTCTAGTTGTGCATTCAGCTGGGGTCCTGTGAAGAGAGAAGGAAATACTGAAGCCATAAAATATTCTAAAGTATCTCAAAATTAACAAATAATGTCCAACAGATTTAAAATTATCTTAAACATCAAAGCCTGTGTTTAAATCTTAAAAAAACCCCAACAACCAACCAACCAAAAAAACCGCAAAAAACCCCCAAACCACAACATGCCTGTAATGCTGAAGGTTATGGTAGGAAAATTTCAACCTGCTAGTACAGGAAGTTTATTTATTGCATATCCAAACACACACTTGTTTCTTGCTCTGTGGACAGATGCACATATCATTTCATCATTAGAAAGCATGACTACTGATCTCAAAAGACACACTAACAGATGATTGATTCCTCTGGTAACCATATTTGGCAAATTCAGAACTAAAAAGTTAACTTGACCTGTGCCAATAGAGCCCCATATGGGAAGATGATATACTACAAAGACCTTACATACTGAGATGATGGGCAATGGCTATGGTATTTAGTCTTATTATTATCAAGCAAGCAAAAAAGAAGAACACGAAGGACACAGCTGAAAAAACTGTAAATACACAGGAAACAGCTAGAAGAGAGAAAACACCATGCTTACACAAATTCCTTAACAACTTCTGATCAATCAACACATACTGTAAGTACATATAATTCTTGGCAACATTAAACTTTGATAATTGGTCAGCCCACTATTTAATTAAGTAAATCCTTTACCTCAACAAGTGGCCAATGATTCAAGTAGGTGATAAAAATGCCTTCTGGAAACAGAACATTAAAAAAAGCATTTTGGTATTGCCCATCACAAAGGAAACTTTTTGATGTAAAGTTATTCCTGAAGAAGCAAGTCAGGCAAATACAGCACAACATTCTTTATACTAAAGAACACAAAACAAACTTTCAAGTAGAAGTCATTCAGCTGCTGTTGTTACAAGTAACGTGTTATTAGCAAAGAGAACAACAGATGCACTTTTGGTTGACACTAGCTTTTGACAGAATTGTGTGTCAGCAGTTTATCTGTAAAGTATGGTGCAGTAAAAGCTGCTTCCCTTCTGCTACTGTACATTTCTGTATCTTCCCCATGCAGGTGTAAAACCACCAGCTGCCAGGAAAAGTCAGAATCAAATTAAATACCTGAAACTATTTCACAGCTATGTTCCCAAGCTGCCCAGATCTCAAGCTGACAGCTCTCCAAAGAGCTGATGAGAGCTACAGAGAACCAGAGAAAAGATGTCAACTTTCGCAGAATCCAGTCAGGCACTCACCAGTGATGGCCAAAAAGCTTTCTTTAGAAAGGGTATCAAAATAACATTTTTAATAGAAAATTTAAATTCAAATTTTCAATGAAAAAAGGGATTTCCACTATGGTTGTAGAGAACTCCACCTTCTTACATGAAGAAAGTTAACTAGTACAATGCTGTTTTCCTTAGCCTACCCTGAATGCCCCAGGTGTCATCTACAGCTCTAACAAGGCAAAAAAAGTGACAACGATTAGCCACTGTCACTGTTGTAATACTTTGTGAAATGATGAAATTGTCAAAAAAACCCCAAAACAACTCCACAAACCACACACCAATTTTGTTCTGCTGCTTCTGCTGCCTGGGGAAATTACAAGCAGCAGAGACATGCAACAGAGGTAAGGATAATGACATCTTAGAAAATGGAGGCTGCTGGCGAAGCTAAGTAAAAATAGATCTGTTTCCATCCTCTTTCTAAGCTATTAGGAAACTAACAAAACAGTAGTCTATTAAAGTTTTACCATTTTTATTTTTTATATACTTAAAAGTAAAGACACAACCTACTTGAAAAATTTTCACTTCCTAATTCTGAGTACATAGAAGGATAAAGTACTTTCTGAATAAAGCTTTTTAGGAGAAGACAATTTTTTTCCCACCAACATCTACTACCCAGAAACTTAAAGAAAACATGACTCTGCCTCACCTGACCCCTTCTCCTCAAAGGAGGAGATCCACAGGCAGCACAACAGCAGAAGAGACAGAATCTCCCAAGCCAAACAAGACAGCCTTGGGACTCTCTGCCCCAACAAGGCACAGTGCTTGGCCTTCCTCTGCCCCCTTTTTAGCAAGGATTTTTGATTAAGAAGGTAGCAAGTCAGGTAACTTACTGAACAGTTTAAAGACACAGTTCAGAATCTCTGGTAATTTCCTAAAATTCCATATGATGGTTCAAATCTGGCTAAAACTTCTCATTTTACAGTGTAGTAGCAGAGTAAGAAGCTCAGGTCTGCTTTGTCTGCTATTACAGACACACACCCTGACAAAGTAACCAACATTTTTTCCCTAGAAGCAGCAAAATAACAGATCTGTATGACCCAAGGGATGAAATTTCTGTCAATATTTACTTAAGGACCAGGTAACACAAATGCTTTCAGATTTTCTTCCCTTTAATGCAACTACAAGGTGCCTTTTCAGATCATTAACTCCAGCCTAACGTAAGTTTCCATATCAACTGACACTTATTTGTACTATT